GGCACCCCGGAAATAGCAGGTCACAAGAGAGTGACAAACATACAAAAAAGTAGAGGAAAATGACAATAGTAAGGATCAGGAAAGAAAAAGCAGCAGTTCCCTGTTGTAGATCAGGCACAGTTATTTGAGTTATGACCGTGACATGAGCTTCAGCCCATTTACAATTCTACTGCGCTTGAACGAGAAATGTTCCCCCTTTGGGAATGGCCTGAAGACACTACAGTCAATGGCACTGCCCCGCGGGTCCTCTAATCTTCACCACTTACATGACCTATATGTGTTGCAAGTGCTGTAAACCTCTTACTAAAACTTTATTAAACCGTGTGGAGAACATGTTTTGTTTTAGCAAGTGTTTTACTGCACTTGCAACACAATAAGGTCATATAAGAGCCGAAGATTAGAGGCGCTACAAGAGAGTAACAAACACAAAAAAAGAAGGAGGGGACATAGAGACAACAGATGTTTGACAGGAAAGAAGAAGCAGACCACACCAGAGCATCCGCCAACCACCCCCAGAGAACATGTTCTGTTTTCATTGTACAAAAGTTTAGTCTCCTAGTGCACAAGACTGACTACTTTGAGCAAACAGAAAGCCATCGATGCAACAAAAATCTTTTGGTATTCAGAGACTGGAAAAAGCAGAGACCGACAGACAGAAACAGTGGGTTGTTGACGGGTGCTCTGGTGCAGTTTGCTTCTTCTTTCCTATGAAACACCAATTGTCCTTATCCCCCCTTCTTTTTTATGTTTGTTACTCTCTTGTAACACCTCTAATCTTCTGGCGCTCATATGACCTTTATGCAGTTGCGAGCGCCGTAAAACCTAAACTAAAACTAACTAAAGACAAAAACAGCAGGACCAATCCAGACTGTATGATGGAACATATGCCAGGAAAAATACGGAGACAAAATATCTCCATAAGAGCCCACACATTTAGTGCACAAGGTCTCTGATCCACAAATGCCAATCAGCAGGGATTGTTGTATCAGAAAAAGACAATTTCCACAGCAGTTTAATTACGTTTTAGTACAAGAGCTTTACGTCACTTGCAACGTAATTATAAGTCATATAAAAATATAGAGGATTACAGATGTTGTTATGTGTTTGCTTGCTTGAGTAAAGAGAAGCACATCGACACAATAATAATGGTGATTTAGCGCTGGGAAAAAGTAAGACAGACAGACAGACAGACTGACAGAAGCATCAGGGAAAATAAAGAAGTAGGACCTTACAGCTACACCATCCAACCACCCTCACAGTTAATCAAACAGTATCATTCAAAGAAAAGAAAAAGGGGCAGATGATAGATGTCTGACGGAAGAAAGAGCAAACCACACCAGTGCTCCCTCCACAACCCATTTTCCATAGTAAAAACTGAATAGTTATAATATTTGTTTAAGTATTTTACGGCGCTTGCAACAAAATTAGGTCATGTTTACACATGCTGAAGATTAGAGGTGTCACTAGAGAGTAACAAACACAAACAGGGAGGAGAGATAAGGACGACGGACAGATGTTTGATAGGAAAGGAGGAGAAAACCACACCAGAGCATCAGCCAACCACCCACGAAGGTAAAGAGAAAGATGACAGATGTTTGACAGGGAAGGAGAAACAAACCAAACCACACCAGTATCCCCCCCCCCCCCCCCCCCCCCCCCGGGGCAGTGCCACTGACTGTAGTGTCTTTAGGCCATTCCCAAAAGGGAAGCAATTCTCGTTCAAGCACAGTAGAATTGTATGGGCTGATTCATGTCACATTCATATAACTGTGCCTGATCTACAACAGGGAACTGCTGCTTTTTCTTTCTTAATCCTTACTATTGACATTTTCCTCTACTTCTTTTGTATGTTTGTCACTCTCTTGTGACCTGCTATTTCCGGGGTGCCTTGATAGATAGTTGAAGCAGACCTTGTGCTGTTGAAGCTAGAGAGGTGAGCAGAGTAAGTCTGATTCCCTGTAAAGACTTCTCTGTTGGCGCCCACCCCTTGGCGCTCATATGACCGTATGCAGTTGCGAGCACCGTAAAACCCTCTACTATTAAAAAAAAAAAAACCTACACCAGTGCCCCCCACCACCACCCACTTTCCAAAATAAAGTGATTTGTGAGCAGATAGATTAGAGAAGAAGGAAAGGAAGAAGGCACAACTGTACTCTAAAGGCAAACACACAGTCTAGCCAGCACATAGTGAACATGCACACAGCAACACACACACACACACAACGAACATGCACACAGCAACACACACACACACAGCGAACATGCACACAGCAACACACACACACACAGCGAACATGCACACAGCAACACACACACACACACACAGCGAACATGCACACAGCAACACACACACACACAGCGAACATGCACACAGCAACACACACACACAGCGAACATGCACACAGCAACACACACACACACACACACACACACACACAGCGAACATGCACACAGCAACACACACACACACACACAGCGAACAGATGTTCAGATCCTGAATTGTTTCTTTTTGTATTCAAAACACCTCGTTTGAGTAAACAGAAGCACAGCGTCACCAAAATGGTCATTTAGAGCTGGGAAAAAGCAAGACCAACAGAAACAGCATGGGGATAGTATAAAAATAGGACCTACTAGAGGTGCCCTCCAACCATCCATTATTCAAAACGAGTGCGATTTTGAGGAACTTAAACTTCATTGACCCTTCGAAGTTATGAAGTCATTCCTAACTTCCGCTATATTCAACATTCGCTTCACAGCCCCAGTCACTGAGTACGTGTGTGTTTTCTCGCACACAGTGCATAGTGATGACATCAAGTCACCATTCATAACGCTTCGAATTTCAAATAGGGGAAGGGGAGCTCACTACGACAGTTAATTTCATGAGAAAAAAAAATCACTGGGCTTGGAGAATTATCAAGTGCCTCGCTTGAGGTATCCAAGGTATAACTAGAAAGAACAGAACATGGAATAATATGGATACTACTCTCATTTTATAATCTTGTTGGTTCCTCTTATCAGTGTCTCTTTACAGGTGAGTACACATTATTTCTGCATTTATCTCAATGATGTTAGACATAATATGCTCAAATTTTACTAAGGTTTGAGAAAAATTAGACAAAAATTCATAATCTGTTTTTAAAAAATTGTTTTTAGAATCTCAGAGCATTCGAATGGCTCTTCCACATTTCATATAGCGCAAAAATCGTGAATGTTGAATAGTGAAGTCAAACGGGCATGGACAGCTCTATATATTCAAAACATGTACGCTATGCAGTTAATTTGAACTAAACAAAAAAATATTTAACATTGAGTGTGTGACTTAGACTGTAAACATTTATTGTGTGTGTGTGTGTTAGTGTGCGTGTGTGAATGTGTGCATACTGTGTGTGTGTGTGTGCATTTGTGTGAAACAAAAGTCACCCCCCCCCCCCCCCCCCCCAACACACACACACACACAATGCCAGAAAAGGGATGCTAGGCCTAAAGTGAACTGGCCAGCCAAAATAGTGAGCTCTCCACCAAGAGATCATTATTCTAATTGAATGATTTCTCATCAGGCAATATTACAAAATAATTTCTTCAATGTTGCTCTTTACAGTATAATAACAACAACCACAGGGAGATGAAGATGGAGTAGCAGTCAGTCAAGGTGCAGCTGATCAAGCTTGGCACCTTGGCCTACTTTTGGGTGCACAGATCCAAATTTCCCAATGACAATGTTCATTTCCCAATACTGTTGTGTAATTATATGATGTTGGTGAATCAAAGATGGATAGGGAGTTGAGAGGTAAAATTGGAGGAACGCAATGTCTCCAATGGTTTTTCTAGAATACAAGGAAGTATTTTTACAATTTAAAAAAAATATATAAATCCAGACCTGGACTATAAACCACTTTAAATCTCAACTTAAATAAAAAGACAAATTGTTTTCTTCTACAATTCACAACTCAATTTTATCTTTAAGACCACTATATAAGACATTTGACTTTGATGGTGAAAAAAAGAGTCCTCATTCAAATCCAGAGGAGGACCCCGGTCAGATAAGGTCAAGAGAACCTAGATGATTTCTGCAGATGCATCCAAAACAAAACATAAATATGAGAAGGTAACTTCACAGCCAACAACAGCTTCTGGAGCTGACAACCTCTTGGTCTGGTCTACAATTACAATCTACAATAAAATCCGTCCATTCCAGTCCAATGAGATCAAGTAAACAGAGCCAGAGCTACCTGTTCCAGACCCAGAGCTCTCTTCATTTACATGATGATGCCACGCCTCCACTGAACTTCTGACAAGAACGGAAGCTAAAAAGATAATTGTCTTCACTGCATTTGAATATTTTCACTTTTCCATTGTGTAAAACTTGCATGAGAAATCAGCTGGTGATGAGTAAGATGCACTAGCAGCTGGATATGTCATACAAATTGATTTTTACCTGTGAGCTGTCACTTCCCCTGTCCAGGGATTTATAAAATAGCAGTGGACAAATCTTGCTTTTCAGATGGGTCAAACCTTCATGTCTTGTAATGTACAGGGTTTCTGGTAGTGATTTTAATGTTGATTTAGGACTGGGTGTTGGTGTTACATGTTGCAATGTGCAGTATTTAGGTGTAGGGGTCATTTTATGGGTGTTCATTCATTCTCAGCTCAGTCTCTCTGCTGCAGTTCCTCCATTTCCGCACTAATCAAACATCCAAAATGGCGGCCACTATATCAAGATGGCTGCTGATGCTATACATTGGTTCATAAAATCGCTTGTATTTCCTATACTCGACCATTCTAGCTTCACCTGCAGGCGCAGTTCGGGGGAAAATAAGAATATGCTGCCATCCCTACCACAATTAGACACCCACCGACCGTCCCTCAATCATGGTCAGCCCTGGAGTGCGCTAAATGAGGTCGTGTTTTGATACGATTCCACGAGTGGGGTCACACACAGCAAGGCACGGATCAAGGGTTGGCGAGCGAATTTGGTAGCCCGAAGCAACAAGTGCACTTACCTAACAACAGAAGCTTTAATTCTCTCCTTGCATCTTTTTTGTCCCGTTTGAGCTGTCGCTCAATTTCTTGATTTATCCGTTTTTGTTCCTTCAACTCATCTGGGATACAGCACGCCATGACTGCTGCTGTAACGAAGATGGGCGATCGCCGTCTCCGTGGAAAATGTTGCCAGCGAGGGCAGAAAATAAAGTGCTCGACCTCACCGACACTTTTCCTCGCTCCCCCAGTGTGAAAGAATGAAACAGAGGGGCGAATTCAGAATAAAAACAATTGCGGCAGCTCGCCGAATGATGCTCAAAATTTCCCAACCATTCAGCCGACTAAGTAATGGAGGCATACAATAGAGCTGGAAAATATCGATATCTGTTATTTCTCCTCGAACAACGTAGCAGAATCGTTAATAAGAAATCGCACAGATGAAATATCGTGCAACGGAAATCAAGCTCTATCTTTTCAAAGCCCTGTTTGGGGAGATGAGAAAATTTGGGTTTGGGTATTACTCTGTCGGAAAGATTATCAGTATGATGGAATATTTCTTTTTAAAAGCAGTTGTAGATTTCTTTGCCTGTCAAAAACATATCTTACAGTCCTGTAACGAGCCGTCCTGTAAACCCTGTTTACATGCCTATTTGCGATTACCGGTACATTCGGGTCAGTTAATAGAGACAAAGTTACTTTTTAATTCCCAAGCTATATTTTTTTAAAAACTAGCTTCTGCTACAATTTACCAAGTTTAACACTTTTGAGACTATTAAAAAATGAAATATGTCCGAGAAAAAGCTTTTTAGAACACTTTCGGTTTCAACACAATGCGGAAGTAAGAAATATCGCAAAATATACTCAATGATAATATTCGTCATGGTATCGATTCTTTGTGTTTAGTATCGGCCAGAGACTAGCACACAAAATATCCGTGGGTGTGGTGCAGTGGGGGTGCAGTAAGTTCTTGTATCGGCAGTCGGTAAGCAATAGATAACCTAATTATTTACTCTTGTCAGTAATATATAGCTAGACAATCTTCAAAAAGTATATAAATTATGTACAAGATACCTTTTGCACATAAATAATATCGTAATTTATCCATTATAGCGGCAAAAGATTAAAAATATCTAAATAGAATAGCGGCCGAATTCGAAATTATGGGATGCCCGCTGATATGAGGCTGACCAATGCATACCTAATGAGCCGGTGCCGAAATTGTCTTTTAATCCAAGGTAGAAATGTATCTTTCCTCCTCAAAACAAAAGCAAGTACAAGGAGGTCTGGCCTATTTTATCGATAAAGAATGGCAAATTATTGCAGCTCTCAAACTCCGAGTTCGTCTGAGACAGAAAAATGAAACGTTTTTATCGAGACACAAGCGTTATTCTAAATCTAAATTATATCTGTAATGCGAGCTATTAGTCAAAGTCTCAGCGTGCGGTACTTTTGATGAAAGTGTAAGGTCAGGATATACAATAGAACTAAGCTACTATTATAAGGGTTGAGAATTAATTTCACGTAATATAAAATACAGATAAAACCTGCTCTAACGGCCACATGTATAAGACAAGCAACTGTAAAAACGGTCATTTTCAATTCCTCCCTTACGCAATTTTTTCCTCTTTTTTACATCAATTAAGATTACACTGTGTAAAACACGTCTATACCTCTCCAAGACAACTATTTCGAAACCGTCTTAAACATTTCGACTATAGATCTAGTTCTAAAAGGTCTTAATTTTGAAAATAAATGTCACCTGAAATTTATTTTGGCCAACAAACAATATATCTATGTGTGAACCACAAATGGCTTATTTTATTGGCCAGAAACAATGCATTTGCGGATGGAAAATACAAGCACGATAAATCGAACAAGAAATCTCTTAACCTGGCAGTGTTTCTCGCGGTCAACATAGATTAAAAAAACAAAGCAAACAAACAAACAACAGCTGCAACAGCAGTCTCCCGTTTTTTAATAGGTGCAATGCATACGCGAGTGCGAGTGCACACACGTTCACACACACACACACACACACACACACACACACACACACACACACACACACTCTCTCTCTCTCACACACACACACACACACACACACACACGCACGCACACGGGCGCGCGCGCACATAGACTCACGCCTGCTCACATGAACAAACTCTTATCTTATCTGCCTTACATCTTTACTCTCCCTTTGTTTCTTTTTCCTTTGCCTTAACAACTCCCGTGCAAGCTCCAAGGCTATTAGTATTAGGCGCCAAACTCTGACCACACGTTTACTCACACAGGAGACAAAGGCGGGGGCCTAGCCTCTCTCATCAGAGTGACCATACACTTACGTCCCGCGCACACTAGGGTAATTACTCATCGTTGCACGTCGGCGAGTAGGCAAATGAGGCAGTTTTCGCTTGTTCGCCTCTCTTTAAGGAGGATGATTGGCGGGTGCTGTGTTGTAGCTTTCCTTATCACTCCTCCTTTTCCTTGTATGTTTCTCTCTAGTATACTAACTAAAAAACCTCTAACTTTCGGCACGTTATATGACCAGTTTGTGTTGCAAATGCCACGTCAAACTTTTCTTAAAACTCAAACTCCTCACCGCCAACTGACGTCATACTTCACAGCGGCGTGACGAGTGGAAATTTTTCATAGTGCGCACGGGGCCTGAGTTCCAAAAACAAGAAACACCTGGTCCTGTGGTCTTTCTTTTCGGCCCGTGCCTTAACGGGCAGTACGTTAGCCAAAGTGTGAAATTCTCGTTACGTTTAAGACGACCTCTACGTCTTTGAAGCAGGGCAGAGAGTGAGTAATTGTTATCGCGTGCACTGGTGCCTGAGACAGTATCTCACAGGGATCACGCAACTAAACCGTGATGTGCTTCAAACAGTGAGCCAATATCCAAATTTTCGATTTTGATATTTAAACGGCTGACCACACCGCAAAATATCATTGCTTTTTAAAAAATGTAGTTGTTTAACAACCCCC